CATCGACAGTATGGTGATAATAGACACTGTCATGGAGTTGCTCTCTTTGTGGACGCTGCTATGTTCAACGATTATCGGCAATAAAAATGGGACGAACATATGACACAAATTTATTTTCATTTAATCACTTATTTGACTGACGTATTCTTTATGCCGTACGAAATTCTTTTCGGAATAATTTCTTACAATATAAGTAAAAACATGACATTTTTTTTATTAAGCACAATATACATCATATATAATATAATTTTTAATTACCTTTTATCTTCCTATATTTCTATTTTCTCCCTATTTATATAAATTGAAACGACTGTTCTTCACTCGCTTTGCATTGCCAGAAAACGCGCGCATTTTGTTAAAGATTCAAGGATTAATACATTTAAATTATAATTTTCTAACTATATGTATAATAATTCCGAATTATAATTGTTTATAGACACACTTAAAATAGTGCTGAAATGCAGTTTATCATTTAATATTTAATATTGCTCGCATTAAAAACATTATTAAAATTAAGGCATAATGCGCGATTGCGAAATCATGTGCAACCAGAATATATCAACGTTCCAAAGGATGTGCAAAACATTTAGCAGGCACCAGACAGCAAACAAAAGATGTTAAATCTATGATATATTAACTGTGATAGCGTATAATCTAATACAATGCAAAGAACCATTCGTGTTTCGAAAATGGTAATACGATATCATAAATAACGTTATTTGAGGATTGTGATAAGTACGTACTTATGTACATAGTCTACATAATAAAGAACAAAATATTTATTTGATATTAATTTAATCTTTTAACGTTAAATTTTAAAATGAATAATTTTTAACATACATATCCGATTTTGATTTCTTCAATTAATAATGACCATTGATTATGAATAGGAAACGTGAGATCATGTGAGATTTCTTATGCATTTGCATTTTGTTGATTAAATAGAATATAGAAAAAAAGCCGAAGGTCTAATGAGGAAAACGCAATCATGAAAATTCACAAATTAATTCCCTCTTTCTGCAAATAAAAATTTGATCGATTCATAGCCATTGAATACCAGCGTCACGTAGCGATGAAACAGTGTAATCTTTATCATTAATCTCTATCTATCCTTGTCACACACTATTGTTTTCTTTGTCTATGGACAAGGCAAGTAGTGCCATCTATCGGAATATATTACAAAACTATAAACAAAGAAGGAAACTAATTATCGACATACTGACTGGATTTTTTTAAATTAATACCTGGCACATAGATGACACATAGATGACAGCACGTAGGTTATTCTTGTAGCGACATCTATTGCTATTCAACTGTCTCATCAAAAGTTACTAAGGAGGTACCAACAAATTATTGGTTACCAAGTTACAAATTGCCAAAGATATACAATAGAAATTAATAAACATTCTTCAGTCATCCATTATATCCTGTATTATGTAAACGTTTAAAATACGTAATAAATGTTTAAAGTACAAAATTTTCTTTTGTAGTACGGTGACTTTATCATTTATCGTTATCGTACCTACATTCTTATATTACATCATCATTGACTAACTAGCGTAAACCAATGCTTTTTTGTGTCCCATGTCACAAACAAGGTATATCACTGTTCTTATTGCACATTATTGCGTTAGTGAAAGATTCTTACCGGAAATGCACTTTTTGGCGGGACGGGCTGGATAGGAGTTATTACACTCCATGTAATAGAGTCAATCAAGAAAATTAATTGTATTTACTTTTTTGATTGTATCCTTCATCTTTTTTCCTATGCTTCATTTAATAAAATGCATAAAGTAAAAGATTTAGAAATTCTGTTCAAAAGAACGAAACACTCGCTCGAATAATCAATTTGTCGTAAATTACGTTCAAGATTTGGATGTAACATATTTAAAATACTTAAAAAATATTTAAATTTATTAAGAGAACTGTTAAGAGAATACACTCTACGTCAAATATAAATTTTTCACTGCGGACAGAGCAGTAAGTTTTATTTTATTATAATATTGCCAGTATTATCAGAGATCAACCATGCTCTTCATTTTTTAATATTCATAATATTATGATCATTTAGTATTTACAATAAATATAATTTTTGCAATGTTTAAATATAGTAGAGTTCTAGTTAAATATAGTAGAGTTTTATAGTCCCAATTTAAGGAATTAGAAATAAAGCATTATATCTAGGAAATTTTTTCAATGTAATTTATGTTTGTCTATATTGCAGTGTACCATGGCACTTGAAGTTGGCACAAAATGGATGCTGCTTGCAAATAGTCATCAGTTTCAACTAAACATCGATTTACAAAATGGGAAATCAATTAGTTGGTATTGCGCCTAGTCAAATATTTCCAGTAGAACATTATTTGACAGACCATAGTGATTTATTATTCGATGTAAAGTGAGTAATTTAAACCAATATTATAAGATGATTTTAATTCTTTACCAATTTAAGTTCTATCAATGTTTCTTATAACATGCTTAATATAAATTAAAGTATTCTGGCAATATCTTTTAATAGAAAAGAAGATATTATCCATGCCTCTTATACAGAATCATTGATAAATGATTTTTTTTGGTTTTTACAATTAATTTTTGTGCATCTACAGCTTAGGAAGTACTAGATTTTTTAAAGTGGCTCGAGCCAGGAGTCAGGAAGGTCTTATAGTAGTTAAAGTTTTTGCTATTCATGATCCAACACTCCCACTTTCCACATATAAAGAAAAGCTTGAAGAAATTAGATCTAAATTGGCATCTGCTGTGAATTGTCTACCTTTTCAAAGAATGATTGTGAGTATTTTTAAATAGTACTTATGTTGCATAGTATAATGACTATAATTATAAATAAATATTTTGTAAATGATTTTATAATTATAAATAAATATATGTTTATATAAGCTCACGGAAAAATCTGGATCAATAATGAGGGAATATGTAAAGTATTCTCTTTATGACAGAATTAGTACTAGGCCATTTTTAACGACCATAGAGAAAAAATGGATTACTTTTCAAGTTTTATATGCTCTACATCAAGCTCACAAGGTGAGATAATTTAACATAAATGAATTGTATTATTTGTATTTATTATATAAAATATTTATTAAATTAACTACGTATATCACAAAGTTTCAGTTGCTCATTTCTTATAAACTAGTTTTTAGCTGGTAAAAAAAACAAATTAAAATACTTTTCACAGTGTCAAACAATGAACATAACTACAATACTGTTCTGAAAGAACATTAAACAACAAAATTAAAATATTACTTCTCATTTAACTGTAGTTTGGAGTCTGCCATGGTGACATAAAACTAGAAAACATAATGATAACCAGTTGGAATTGGATTTTACTCACAGATTTTGCAAGTTTTAAGCCGACTTATTTACCAGAAGATAATCCTGCTGATTTTTCATATTTTTTTGACACCTCTAGAAGAAGGTACTGAGTCATATAATATAATCTTTTGTTATTTTCAAATTATCGTGATAGATTGTAATTCATTTATTTATTTCAGAACATGTTATATAGCTCTTGAAACATGCTATATAGCAATTTAGTGATAGATTATAATTCATTTATTTATTTCAGAACATGTTATATAGCTCCAGAACGTTTTGTAAAAACACTGTCTTCGGAATTAAATAATACATTGTTATTATCAGAACAAGAGCTGAAAACAGGTGACTTACATCCGATGATGGATATTTTCTCTGCAGGATGTGCATTAACAGAGTTATATAATGAAGGACATCCACCATTTGATTTTTCTCAACTATTAGGTGCGTGTAATATATGTAAAGATCATGTATAAGTTATATGTATAATATTACTTCAGTTAAATATTTAAAAATTGTATTATTGTGATATATTAAGCATATAGAAACAATGAATATTCAGTCAGCAAGCATTTGGATATAATAGAAGATTCAGGAATACGTGAACTCCTTGCATCCATGTTGGAAAGGAATCCAGCAAACAGAAAAAGTGCTGAAATTTATTTAGCTCAAGCTCGTGGAACAGTATTTCCAGAATATTTTTATTTATTTCTCCAACCATATATGCTTATTTTTTCCGCTGCTCCAATTTTATCTCCTGACGAAAAAATAAATCGACTTAAAAAGGACATTAGTAATATCATTAATATTTTAAAAGCAGAAGAAAATGAAAAAATCAAAAGTGATATAAAAAGTACAGAAGTAACAAAAAGCAATCATTTTAAAAACAATGTAGAATCAACTAAGGATGATTTTGGTCATAATGAAGATAATACTATTGAAGATGACAATAATCAAAGTTTTAACAAAAGTGACTTAAATGGATGTGATTCAAAAACTGTTCAAATTCAAGACACTAAATCTGATAGTCAAACGGATCAACAAGCAGAACCTATACTAGTTGAAAGTCAAAGACGAAAATTAGATTTAAAGAGTGAGAAAAAAGTTTTATCTTCAGAACCCGTTGAAGGATTGGTTATTATTACTCAACTTGTTACTTCATGTATACGAGGTTTACATCACTCTCAGTCTAAATTACAAAGTTTAGAAATATTACTTGAACTTGCTGAAAACACGTCAGATGAAACAATATTGGATCGGATTTTGCCTTACATTGTAAATATTTGAATAACTATTATAGTATTTTAATAATAGTTTATTAATAATATACGTTAATAATAGTTTATTAATATATTCTACAGTTTCATTTAGTTCATGATCCTGCTTCACGAGTACGGGTGTCAGCTATACACACTTTGACAAAATGTTTGCATCTTGTAAAGTCAATTCCACCATCAGATGTGAATATCTTCCCAGAATATATTTTACCCGGTTTAGCACATATCACACAAGATGAAGCAGTAATTGTTAGAGCTGCTTATGCAGAAAATATCGCGCATTTAGCACACATTGCATTACGTTATTTAGAAAATGCTCATTTATCTAACTTAGGTAACAAAGAAGGCCCAAAACCAAGTTATGATAGTGAACTTCAAACTTTGCATGAAATGGTAATTAATAAAATTATTTTTAACATAATATTTATATATTTATATATGCTATCTATTAAAATATGTAATATTATTAGGTGCAACAATCTGTGTCCATGTTACTAACAGATCCTCAGAATTTGGTAAAACAAACGTTAATGGAAAATGGAATAAACAAACTTTGTATATTTTTTGGAAAACAAAAGGCCAATGATATTTTACTTAGTCATGTTATTACTTTTTTAAATGATAAGGAAGACAAAGAGTTAAGAGGTTCTTTTTTTGAATGTATTGTTGGTGTAGCTGCTTATGTTGGTTGGCATAGTAGTCCTATTCTTATGCCTCTTCTTCAACAAGGATTGGCAGATCCTGAGGAATTTGTAACCACAAAGGCTATTAATGCAATGGCGACTCTTACAGAATTAGGTCTCTTACACAAATCTGCTCTTTATCAACTTTTACATGAGACCATGGTTTTTTTAGTAAGTTATGTTTTAGCAACATTATATAATTATAAGACAGCAATTTTTTGCTCTTCAATATCTTGGATTTTAAATTTTTTGTAGGTACATCCAAATTTATGGATAAGACATGCGACTGTCGGTTTTATATCTACGGCGGCAAGAACACTTAATTTAGTAGACGTTCAATGCAAAGTTCAATTAATGATTCAATCCTATCTAAAGCATCCATTGATTCAAATAGAAAAAGAAATTCTGTTATTAGAAGCCTTGGTATCTCCCATACCAAGAATTGTTTATGATTCTGTTGTAAAATACAACGATGTAGAAGAATTATTTCAAGTTCTTGAACAAAGACAAGCTGCTCGAGCTAAAGCAATATCAGGAATAGTACCACAATATAGTGAAATGAGTACTTCCATACGAAATGTAAGTTATAAGTTGTATTTATAAATATATTTTACAATTTTCATCTAATATAAACAATGCCTTTTAGCTTTTTAGACGATTAAGTTCAGAATCTATGACTGAAACTGTTGAAGATCAGTTACTAATAATGAAACCACATTTAATGAAAATCAATAAATATCGAAATTCAGTAGATGCGAAGCTAAGTACAGCTAAATCGGTGGATGGAAAGTTAGAATTAAATACTATGAAAGATAAAATACGACATCATATAGTAATATTGTATCCTGATACAAAAGGCGATCTAGGTCTTCCGCCATTTAAACGATTAGATCGTAGAATATCAGATAGTGTTGGCACATATGCAACAATGAATCAGGAATGGCGAACAATGTTTGCAGCTCAAGATAATGTTCAAGTAATTAATAATATATAGACTATGTTCATAAATTTTTATAATTTATTTCATATTCTAGTTCATAAATATAATTTATTTCTTTTTTATAATATAGCATACTGTGAAAATGTCAGATATGACAGGGAGTAGTGGAAGTCCCAGTCAAAGTTTACATGGAGGAGATATTCATTTATCACCACAACATAGTTTATCTGACATGAATAGTATAAATGATCATTCTCTTCATGAACGTTCGTATATTCAATGTATGTGTTTTCAAAAATGCTTTTTGATGTTACAATACTGTTTTTTTTTCTTTTTTTTTTATAAGAGATACAAAAAATTTGATGTAATTTTGTAGACAGGTGTGCACCTTGTAGATTAGAAGTAAGACAACTGACATACAGAAAACAAGAACAACATGCTGCAGCATTAAGAGCTCAGCATTGGGCTGATAATATTGCATGGCAAGCTGGTAATTAATAATTATAAAAATGTATTTTTTAAACTTAATATCGGTATTATAAGTCTTTGATTTGAAAAAAGGTTCAAGATTATTACCAAGTGGATGGAGACCTCGAGGAGTACCAGTTGCACATCTTCATGAACATAGAGCTGCAGTAAATAGACTGGTTTCTATACCTGATACTAGTTTATTCGCCAGTAGTTCTGCAGATGGATGCATAAAAATATGGGATGCAAGTAGAATGGAAGGCCGGAACATTGCTAATCGTTCTAGGTAAGTTCTTTATATAATATAATATCTATCATTAAATTTAATAATATTTCATTTTTTAATTTTTTTAGGCAAACTTA